AGGAAATTTATACCATTAGGCTCAATTGGTTCTTCGGCAGACAAGAGTAGCATTCCGGCAGCAGCAGCACTTGCACCAAATATGTAATAAGAATCCTAAAAGATGGAACAAGAGCAATGTTACTTGAATATTCAAGCAACCTTTCAGCAACAGGGATGCTAGCAATGGAACACAAGCAATGTTACTTGAATATTGGAAGCAAATCTTTTGGAATCACTGAAAATTCACGAAGCTGCGGTGCTAACAAACCTCATCATGTATTGCAGGCATTTCTAGTTCTACGTGTGTTTCAATGTGAATGCTACAGGAAAAGCAGCAACCATTAGGTTCACCGGACACAACCGGTACTTGGACACTATAAAGAAACCAGGTGACAAGCTCGATAAATGCTTAGACACTGAACTATCATATGACATAAATAAGCTGACCAGCAGCAACGGGTCAAACAAGACAACTCTCTTTAAATAAAACTAGGTGACACTATGGTTAAATAGGCAATTAAGTTATCATGTCATGTGGCACACAAACAAGGTCAGAAGCAACTGAATGCTGAAGAACAAGTAAACATGGTTGACAAACAGGCTAAGTGCAGAAACAAGTGGATCTGACAGGAAAGCAGCAATGCAAAGAGCAACAGTAATCAACCTCAGGGCGCAGGCGCAGCTTAGGCAACATCATGCCAATCTCATCAACAGTGAGGAACCCAGCACCCTTGCCGGTTTCGCGCAGGACGTCCCCAAGGGCAAACGGGCTGCAGGAACAGTGACACAGGGTTAGATCCACCACAAGACAAGACGAAACAGCAACGGTGACACAGGGTTAGATCCACCACAAGGCAAGACGAAACAGCAACGGTGACACAGGGTTAGATCCACCACAAGGCAAGACGAAACAGGGAGGGGGGAGGCTGCCATTACCGTGGGATTTCAAACTCGCGTGTTGCCTTGGACCCCCCAAAACGACTGGCCAGGTAAAGGTCCTCTGCAAATCCGGCGGACAGCATGGGGACAAGGCAGATGAAGCCGTCGCATACAGGGACAGCGGCCGGCTGCAGGAGACCCGTCACAGCCGCACGTAGCGCAATGGTCGCACTCCAATGGCTGGACAAGATGTAAACCAGAGGAGGAGGAGCGTCAAGGAAATGCGGCCGGCGAGGACGAATTTTGAGGCAGGCGCTGCCTTACCTTTCTCTGCGTGGAGTCGCGGTCGCTCGCCGGTCGGTCTCGCGCGCGCCGCCGCCTGACGGATCGGATCGAGGAGGGAAGGGGTTAGGGTTACGGTCAACACGAGGCGCCGGCGCCGGCGCTTTTTATATGCTGCCTGCCCTGTGGTGTGGGAGTGAATCGATCGGGGCCTCCCAAAACTCAAAGGGCTCTCCCGGTCCAGTATCACGGGGAGCATTCCGACGATCCACCCAGTTTCGGCGGCCCAGTCCAATAGTTGCAGCCAGACGAACCCACTCCAACAGATGATCACAGTTAATGATCAGACGGCCCAGTAACGACTGCGAAACAATTTTCTATTGTATTTTCGAAATCGTTGCAAGATAGGGGCAGTTCATACAAGAGCATGCAAGGTCGTAAAGCAAACAAAGGAAGAAAAAAAATTGGTCATCCTGTCAGAAGAAAAAAATAGCATATGGGTCTCCACTAAAAAAAAGACCTCAGTAATTTAAGCATGTCATCCGAACGTTTTTTGATGGCAACTTTAGTTGTTGCCACATGACAACTTTGTTCCAGTTTGATTTTTTGTCAGAAAATTGACATTTTTGTCAACATCGCCTTAACTAAAGTTGCCATGAAAAGAGTTTGGATTAGCATGCTTAAAAATCAAACGTTCGGGATTTATCTATTCCAAAAAAAGGGTCATTTAGATATGCACATCTAAATGGCACAATGAAACATTAAAATTCAACAAAAAATATTATGGGGGCCAAACCCAACAACCATGGAAAAAAATCACAAAAGAAAGGATTGTACGGAGAATCGCCTCGGGTTAGAGAGTGTGGTTCGTGTCCCAAGAACAAATCCGTCCTTTAAGAGCAGCTCTTGCAAATACCATAAAAACCGTCGAACCTTCAAATTTATAATATAAATTAAAAACGCACCGAATAAATCCCATAAAATAGCAGATCCAGTAAAAAAATTACAGACCCAAAAAAGAAGCCAGAGTTTGAATTCGTCCATGCGTCCGTGCTGAGAAAAAAAAGTAATAGTGGGGAGAAAAAAGAAAAAAAAATACAGGATCTGTTCCGCCTGATGCCGAGTGGTGTCGCAAATTCGTTTTAGAAGGGCCTGCATACAGGATCTGTTAGAGTTTGCTCTTGAAAAGGGAACTAGAAAAAAATTAAGCGTCCCAAAATTCTTGTCTTAAATTTTTCTAAACATAGATGTATCTAGACAAGAATTTGGGACGGGACGGAGGGAGTAGATCAAAAAGAACAATACCTGGGCATGGCCGACATACATGAAAGATCCAGACAGACTTTGGTGATTTAGATAGATCTGATGGACAAATAAGAGCATGAACACCATAGCCATGGGCGAGGCCTAAAAGGTCACGCGACCTCAGAGGCCTTGGCCATGGCCGTGGGATACATGCCATGCCGAAGATGCGTTACGCCGTGAAGAGGACTCCAAGCCCGGTGAGTTGAACTCTTGATCGGAGGAGGCATGGAGGTCCGGCGAATCATCCTGTTGAGTTTGGAAGACCTAGATTCGTGCTATCTAGGTTTAGAGAGAGATAATTGGGGGAGGGGCCTGAGGGTCCGGATACAAATAAGCCTGAACGACCGCTAGGCTTAGGCGGCCAGTAGCCCTGTCAGTCCTACATGGCAGCCGCAGAGACAGGCCCGATTTACGTGGTCTGTATGGACGGCCGCGTTGTCCATATACGGCAAACTGCGCCCCAACCTGGACGTGTAAAGCTATGACGCAGCGGATCTAGACGTCCTCCGTTAGATGTCATGCTACTTCATCCGACGGCCAGCACGCCCATTGAAGAAGCACACGATCCGCGTACTCTCTCCCCATTGGTCATTAGCTGCTTCATGGTAACAAAAATGTACGCGACACATTTTTTAACGCAGTACAGCGCAACGCTCATGTATTGGCACATGCACGTTTTAAATAGCCCGCTATAGCGAAAGCTATAGCGTTTGGAAGAGGTCCCGCGCTAAGAGTCTTTTGTTCAAATGCTTGAGTAAATATTTTAAATAGTTCGCTATAGCATTTCGAAGAGGTCCGCCGCTAAGAGGCTTAGCGCGCTATTTAAAACTTTGGTCTTACCCCTATGAGCATCTCAAAAATGTGAGCCAGTGCATCATTTTGATGATTTATAAAGTTGTTACGGACGATTTGATAGTCAGATGAAAATGTCTCCTTCCATTAAACGTACAACATAAAAGAATCTAGAAAAAATGCAGACATCAGTGTGTCTTAAGCTCTGCTAAAATGAAGATACTACAACTATTTCTTTAACCATCGAATCACAAGTTATTGCGCATCTATATGACACTTCATTGTATAGACTTCACACGTAATGGTTTCAATTTGCTAAGTTTTTTCAAACCTTTTGAGATTGCTAACTCACCCGGAAAAAAAAGATTGCTAACTGGTAGTATGTGACACCTCCACGGAATGTAAGGGAAATTCCAACTTGGCGATGTTGATTTTGTTCACCCGTCTTTGTTTTTGTTCGTGTCGGTAGAAGCCACGACCCAATACGGTGTGTTTTGTTGTCCGCTTTGATCATTTTCAGCCAAAATTTGAAATGGGTTTGCATTCGTGTGGACACGTCGTGAACAACTGCGTGTCGGTGGCACACATCCAATACCCCCCCCCCCTTCCTCATCGATTTCGACCTTCCTGTCCTCTTCGCCATCACCGTCGTCACCCTGCTTTCGTCTTTCTTTTTCGCCACCTCGATGCCCCCACCCAACCACCACAGGCGAAGTTGTTTTCACTCTTGTCACCGATGGTGTAGCTCACGGCCCACACCCCTACACCTCCTTCAACCAAAGTCGTCACCTGCCTCGGCACATCAGCACCACCGCCGGAGGACGTTGAGTTTGACAACCCTGCTCTTGGAATTATCCAGAATGGGGATCTTCACCGGTCAAGACTCGTCCACACCCGTGATCGTCGTCGTCGCTCACAAGGTGTTCAGTCATTTGCCCGTCTTGCTGGTAGGGTACGGATTCATCACTCCGAAGGGATAGCTTGGGCGACTTAGGGAGCACCTTGCATCGGGATCCCTTCCCCTCGTCTCCTCCACACTAGCAAAGCCCGTCAAGTTAGGAAAGAGAACTTGGTGCACTTGGGTACCAGCACCCTATATGCGCCGAATAATTTAGCAACTCAAAAAAGTCCAATAAATACGAATCTTTTTTGAAATATGATCAAGTATTGTATTTATATAAAAAAAGTTGGTCAAGGAATGATTCTCATTGACTTTAGGGCAAAAAGAACAAAATTTAGGATGGAATAGTACTAGTATACTTCCTCCGTTCATAAAATATTTGTTTTTTCTGGAGATTTTAAATGAACTACCACATATGGATGTATATAGACATATTTTAGACTGTAGATTCACTCATTTTGTTTCGTATGTAGTCACTTGTTGAAACCTATAGAAAGACAAATATTTAAAAACGGAGGGAGTATTATATAGCGTTTATTTGTGAATCTTTGACCCAGGATAAAATAAAAATCATTATTTGGCGAATCCGAGCACAGAATACTTGATCATGTTTGATTACAAAAGAAAAGTTTTAGAATTCTTTGAACTTTTTTGAATCACTAAATTATTTTTGCATATGGACTGCGCCGTGGTGTACGTACGGAACGCTTTAATGGCCGCCTATTCGGCATGCGACCAAACGCAATGGACAGCGAACACATCACCGACCAGGTAAATACTAGTACTAATATACTGATTATATTATAACAAAATATTGTGCAATTTACCTTTGTTCAAACTTGTGGTACGGTGTGCTCTTCTCAAGGCTGGCGACCAAGACTTGTGCGAGAAGCAATGCTGTGTGAAGCTTGCCTGCGGTATCATCAGTTTCTTTCTGCATGAAAGTGAGGAGAGGCCGAGCTCATTCCACCATCGACACTGACCATACAGAATGGAATGATGCTTAGTTGCTTGCCTCGCCGGGGTAGTCCAGCAGTGGCTTCATGCTCTCCGGCTTGCCGCTCAGCTTCCAAGACATGATCCGGGAGACGAACTGCATCCCGTTGCCGATGGACGACGGCGGCGTTAGGTGAGGCGTGGAGAGGTCCAGTGCACCGAAATCAACCTCGAGCGAGTTGTCGTCGCGTGCCCTCAAGAAAACAAACAGCAGGGACTCTGGGCTCGTTTTGTGCTCATCCATCAGGCTATGGTGCTGCTAGGTACGTACAGTATATAAATTAGTGATGCAGCACCATTTGTCATCGTAGAGGGTCTCCTTGCACTTGAGGTAGTCGGCGGGCTTGATCTCCTCGACGGAGAGGTCCCCTGATGAACTCCCAGACGCCGGGGGTTCGTCCGGACGGCGAAGGCGACGAGGGAACACGACGTAGCCGAGGAAGCCTGGCCCTTGGAGACATACCTGCAGAACAACAAGGAAGGATCCACCGTCATGCAAGGGTGTTTGCATACGTTTCAGAGAAAGAAAGAAAGGAAGGAAGAAAGAAAGAAAGAAAGAAAGAAAGAAGAAATGATGTTTGTGTTGTGTTGTGGACTTGTGGTACCTCTGGAAGCAGCTCTTCATCTGGTAGCCCCCGGCTCTGGCGCAGCGCCTCGGGCATCATGGCGGCGACGCTGTCGGACCTCCTGAGGGGCGGGCATGGAGGAGGAGGAGGAGGAGGAGGCCATGGCTGAGATGATCGAGGTGGAGATGGTTTGCCTTGGTGATGATCCTGGCAGGTTTATGTGATTCACATGAGGATGGCCACCACGCGGCGGTGACAGTGCGAGGTCCGGTGGCGGCGCCGGTTGGTTGCCGGCGAGCCGAGCGGCGTCCATGGCGGGCAGGAGCTGCAGAGGCGACCGGTGTGCCATGTCCGACGGCGGCACAGGGCTCGGGCGGCGGGCGGACAAGTGCATTTGGGCAATGGTGGCGCGTGGAGGAGGCGCCGGCGAGGAGCGCTGCCGTGTGCAAGTCGAAGCCCCTATCCACTTTTTTCTTTCTTTCTTTTTTCGGGGAGAACCATGAATAAGTGTACATCTAGTAAGCTAGAATCCCCTCCCATGGTCGGGGAAGATTTCTTGCCATTTGGTAACAGGGACGATAGTGGAGGGATGGGAAGGCATGACGATGCGGAAGCAAAACGCTGAGGATGGGCCTTGGTTGAAAGAGGAGGAGGAGGAGGATGGCCTGTCGTCACCGGAGGTGGGAGCAACTTCTTGCCGGAGGGGAGCACGGGGAAAGGAGGAGGACGGCCGCCGGGTTGTTGCCGTCATTGGAGGGGCGGCATAGCACATCATGGAGGAGGAGTGCATGGTACAGGGGGTTGGGGCGTCACTCCCTAGCTATAGCCGGATGGAGAAGCTTCGGAGGCGGATCCAACGTAGCCTTCACTTAGTTACGAGAGCCAGCGCGACGAGGAATTCGGCCCCGACCTCTCGAGTCCTGGAAGTCCCACCTGGGGAAGGGTCGAGGAAAGGGAGGGGGTCCCTCCGCTTCGTGGGTGACCAAATTGCGCCGTAGGCTCCTCGGGGTTGATTCAACTCGTGTTTTTCCCACCTGGAGAAAGAAGCGGGATCCCGGGAGGATCCCCGGTAACCAAATTAGCCCTAACAGTATAGCCAAACAGACCCTCGGAAAAAATAGAGCCAAACAGTGTGATATTCTGCGTCGAAAGCTATTAGTGTTTCTGCAAATGTAGTGGTCTTATCTAAGCTTCACAAATGTAGTGCTCTTAGAGCATCTACAGCCGGATTTGGCAAATCTGGCACCTCAAACGCCTGCGGACGCGCTCGGGCGCCTCCGCAGGCACCCCTCATATTTACCATTATGCTTCCGCGTATCTCATATCCGGCGCCTTATATCCATACTACGCATGCACGTGTTGATCTATCCTACATGATCAGACGATGGACAACAAAATTGAGCTGCAAAGGAACATAAGATCCGCTGCAAATGGACATAAACATACTTTACCACATCCAAAAGATCATAGTTCATCCATGAACAAGTTTATAAACTTCTACAACTAAAAACGATATAAACATGGTGGAGGAGGGGGGGGGGGTTGGAATCACCACTTCCTCGCCAGACCTTTGCCCTTCCGGTCAATGGCGCGGCTGTAGGCGTCAGCGGCCGGTGGATGGTCTTGGTCGTCGGACGAGGAGGTGCAGTTGTCATCGTCGTCGGAGTCGGATCAAGAGGACGATGAGCCCCTTCATCCGACAAACCCCCTGTCCTGCTCCCGCTTCAGCCTTGCCACCCGAGCCTTCTATGCCGCTGCCTCCTTCGCCTCGCGCTCTGACTACACAATAGCTAGCCGGAGCACCTTGGCGTTCTTCCGTCGGAGGCGGCGAGCGTCCATCTCCGCCATTGTGATGGAGCGGCGGTACACCCAGGCAAGGAGACGCGCGTCCTCGTCTGCGCCCGGCTTCGTCCCGCGTCGAGCGCGGCGGTGGCGGGGCGGAACCCCCGCGGGTGCTGGCGACGAGGGCGGTATGGGTTGCGCGAGTCCGCGCCACCCGCATCCGGCGCTCCTCCAACTTGAGGTACGCGACCACCTTAGCAAAGGTGGGCTCTGGGATGAGGGTGAGGTTGGAGGCGGCATTCCTGAAGTCCTCGTTGAGGCCGCCGGAGAGGGTGCTGATGAGGAGCTCATCGCCGATCTTTTCCCCGAGATCACGGAGCTCATCGGCGAGCTTCTTGAGGCGCATGCAAAAATCATCGATGGATGAGTCAAGTTGCTGGCACCCGTAAAACTCACCGTAGAGCAGGACCTTGCGCTGCAACCGGTTGTCGGTGAAGAGGCCGTTGAGCTTGGTCCAAACCGCATAGGCGTCGTCCTCGTCGTTCACCACGGTGTGGAAGAGGTCGCTGGAGATAGTGAGGTAGAACCAGCGGATGATGGTGGCGTCGAGGATCATCCACTCCTCGTCGTTGATCATGAGCGCCGAGTCGACGGTGCCGTCCACGTGGCCGTGCAGGAGGTACTCACGGAACACAAGCGAAAAATACCGCTTCCAAGCAAAGTAGGACGCGGTGGTGTAATCAAGCTTGACCGGGACACACTCATGGATGTTGAGGTCGCGGACGAGGGTGACATCGGGACCGGCGAACGGGTTGGAGACGGTGGACGAGGAGGAACTCATGGCGAGGGTTAGGGTTTGGGAGGTGCGGCGGCGCGGACTAGAAGGTGCGGCGGCGCAGGGGAAGGTGCGGGTGCGGCACGGGTGGAAGGGGAAGGTGCGACGCGGGTAGGAGGGAGAGATGGGGCGCGGGCGGAAGCGGGAGTCGCGGCGGCGGCGGCCTCGGGAAGAGGCGGCGGCAGCGGCGTGCAAGGAGGTGGGGAGCAGCGGCGGCGGCGGCGGCTTAGGGTTTAGGATCGTGCTGCGATAGATACCATGTAGAAGGACAAGTTATGGGCTGTGCAATCTCAATGTATTGATCGGTGCACCAGGCACGTATATATAAATACAGAGGTGGGCCACAACCTCAACTATATAAAAGAAACAGGAGATGGGCCCTACACACAAATATACACGTACACAATATACTCAACACGAATCATAGCAAGAGTAGCTCAGAAGGTAAGACTGATACAATCATATATTGTGGAAAGACAGAAAGCAAATTCGTATAATGCTTGGTCTTTCTAAAGAGACCTACCTACACAGTATCAAAGAAATACTCCCTCCGTCCCATAATGTAAGACGTTTTTTGATACTACACAGAGTTTAAATCATCCCAAGACATGGATGCAATTATCATTATTTATTTGATATTCCTAGATCATGCGTATGTTTCTTTGTGCGGATGGCACTGCCTATATCTGAGAGAGTATCTCCCTCTTTAATTTCTGACCATACTTTTGCAGCCGTTTAGATAAACCAGAGGGGACGTGACGCATCTCAGCTGACCTATGCAAGTGCTCGCAGACAGCTGTTGGTGGAGCCAGCGGAGCCTGGAGCTCATCATCAGCCATCGTGACCTGAATAGATCCAAGAAAGTTCTCAGATGCAGGCACATATTTAGGGCTCAGAAGGAATAGAAACCATGTGAGGTCCGTAGGTGAGGCCTGACCTGGTTATTGGAGCTGAGATGCGTGGTGACGACCGAAGCGGCACGATGGAGGTCCGATCCAAGGCAGCGCCGCCGTGCGTAGAAGACGATGTATTCATGGGAGCGAAGTGAAATATCGGCGGGAGAGTGTGTGAGTCCTGGTTTGACCTATGTATCAGACGGAAGATGACCAAGATAGCCTTGCTCAGCAGTCTCTTCAAATCAAAGCCCAGTAGTGGAGCGCCGATGGATCTTTTGGCTCCAAAAAGAAAGAAGAGCAAGCAAGGTGCTAATAAGTAGCTTCATTTAACTGCCTTGTCGATCAACTTCACAGGTGGCACTTCACATGAACCTGATGCAAATAATCTGCGAGACGGATATTGCAAGTATTAATAAATTTATCTGTCTCGCTCGGTAAAACCAACTTGCCTTTATTAAACCTTGTTAACAATCCTGGATCAAGAAACCAACCATAGATAAATCCTGATTGGCCTTGCTCTTCACCTTTCTTAAGCCATATATTGTTGTTTATGAAAATTAAGTAAAAAGTTAACTCTTTGATTGTGATTTTAAGCTAATTTGAAAAGAAAAAAAAAACATGCTTTGTCATTAAAAATGAAGAAATGGAAAATCAAATGAATAACAAAGTGAATGACAAAAAGGAATGCACATATGTGCATTAGAATCAAAGTAGTCAAAAGTGAAGCACGAAGACACTTTATTTGGGCCCAACAGATCAGTAAACATATAGTGCAGTTCATCTCTGTTTTGTACGGGAATCTAGTACTTATATGAATAAAACAAACAAAAACCGCTACATGGAGTATCCGAACCAGTACATACATCGACTGTGCAAAAACTATGTTTGGGATACAAAGGGGATCAAAATGAAAGCTCAAGCAATCATCACCATTCCCCATAAGAAATCTGCTCGCTCACAGCAATGCAGCTAGAATAAAAAATATATCTACACTAAGAATAGACATGTTACAGAGTTAAAAGTCGCCAATAAGTGAATGTATCTTTTGGAACTAACAATAGAAACAGAACCAAGATACAAAGTTACAGACATGTGAATGAATCTTTCAGCACGACAATGCCAAATAGAGGCCACTTTCCCTGGTTTCATTGCGTATTCATCCAAA